AAACCCCAGCAGACCACACCACAAAAGATAGCTGAGGCCACCACAGAGTCATAGAAGCTCTTCAGGAGTGGGCCCTCCACTCCAAAAGACCTGAGTCTCCACAGCAGGTAGAGACTCTGCCATTTCCTGTAAAGGGCGTCTGAATTAGGAGTCCAGTCCAGTTTGTTGTTCAGATGAACACCAAGGTACCTGTAGCTGTCCACAGCCTCAGTATTCATACCTTGGATGTTCAGTGGTTGCAGTGGAGGTTGTTTGTGCCTGCGGAAGTCTACCACCAGCTACTTGGTTTTACTGGTGTTAATCTGGAGGTAGTTCAGCTGGCACCAGTCCACAAAGCATTGGGTCAGCATCATCTGCTCCAATGCTAGGTTGGTAGGCAAACTGAAGTGGGTCCACTGATGAGCTCACTAGGCGCCGAAATTGAGCCAGAAACAACCACTCCAGGGTCTTCAGGGTCAGCTAAAAAAAATTTTTGTATTCACTAAAATATAAATTTTAAGTCGTCCTAAACCTAAATCATGATCATCATTCAAACAACCAGCAAAATATTCCTGAGTTGTCTGCTCAGTACATTGGGCGTGGCTGTAGCTCAGGAAGTTGGTGGTTCAATCCCTGGCTGCTCTGTCTCTGATGGATCCTTCTGTGTCAATTTATGATAGAAGAAATGTTGTAGTTGTGAAATGATTGTATAGATGTGTGGAATGAGGCATGTTGAGTGCTGAGGGAGAGTAGAAAAGATGCTGCATATGAACAAGCCCATTATTTTGGAACTTTACAGTGTTGTTTATTAGAGATTTACATCATTAATTTATTACTGAGACTAAGTGGAAGTTAAAATACAAAAATACATAAAATAAATATGTTTATGTGTGAATGAACAGAAATCTGTTAAAAACCTAAAATATAAATTAAAAATAACCATGCAGTGACACCTGATACACAGTAATCGCATCAATGCCAGCAAAATGAAGGAGCTAGTGAGTGACTTCAGCAAGAGGCCACCCCCTATTACACCAGTGAACATCCAGGATTTGGCAATTGAAATGGTGGAGGAGTATAAATACCTGGGTTTTCTGCTCTCTTTTATGTTGGAGTGGTGGAATGGCAGAGAGGGACAGGGGGAAACTTAACAAACTTTTCAAGATGGTGCGGCCATGTCCAGACGCCTTCCTGACCGCTCTGCTCCGACTATCCACTTTTCTTGTTTTTTACTTATTTTTTTGCCCTGGTTGACATCCCAAAATCCTCTAAGCTTATAGTATACGACAGCAGATCACTTGTAAACATCGGTGACAAGGTTGCACATCTAATCTTGGACACTTTTAAACCCGACCCATCCTGGCCGCCAGAGATTCTACGCGGCGCGGAGATTAACAAAGGATGGGGCGCTCATCCGAGGCGTAGAACAAAGAAGCGCCGGGGGAAACGCGCTGGCATTAGGAACAGACTGAGACAGCAGGCGCATCGCGCACCACTGCCCAGTATCCTACTGGCCAACGTACAATCCATGGAGAACAAGCTCGATGACCTAAGAGCAAGAGTCACCTTCCAACGTGACATGAGGGACTGCAACATTCTGTGCTTCACGGAGACATGGCTGA